TCGTGATTTCTATTCATATTGTTTCTATAATTTTGTTGTTGTTTCTTCTCCAACCCCTTATTTTCCAACACATTCTTCCTTCAAAGTCTGGACCTTTCTATTTAAACTGTTGATTAGGCTAACGCAAAGCTCAAACTCAACCTGTGGGCTTAGGAATAATACTACAGCTCACAATAGACTCCTCCAGTTTCGCCAGGGCCTGAATCTGTAGACAAAGATATTCTCTATCACTTAAAAAGGTTCATGTCAAAATCAATCCGCACTGAAAACATAAAAAGGAAAAGACATTAAAACAGAATTTATAAGAGTAGCCAATTAAATGCCTGAAGCTAGAGATGGGAAAGTCAATAAATCAACTCCCCATATTTGTTTAAATACTAAGGTTATAGAAGTTGGAGTTAAAGGGATGAAGTAGTCTCTTGGCTTCATGGATTTCAAGAGGGCAAATAGAAGATAGGGACCATTCGGTTGGAAAGTTCATTGAGAGCACAACTATTAACTAAAAAAGGTGGTTTGCCTATATCAAATTACCACAGTTAGAGCATAATAGTCTAATGATCGGCAAGTAGCGAACTAATATTCATGGCACTTACCATAAGTTTGAGGCATGTCAATTGCAGTATAGTGATCATTTGGTTAAAGCTCTTAGTTATGTCGAATAAAGAAAAAAAATCTCTTTTCAGGAATGCAACTGGGCAGAAGTAATTATCGTTTCTGGGAAAGCCTTGGAGAAAGTTGAAAAAAATGAAATAATACCTCATTGGGGATTCGTAGCATTCTCCAATGGCATGACCGATAAATTGAACAAAATATATCTGGTGAAAGCTTCTGATGCAAGAGGATCCGAGTCGAGTGATGTTGATTTGTCAAATAGCACGATAATGGCACTGAGATACCATGAGATGGCGGATCAGCGCAAAGATGGGGAGTGAATCGCAATTATTTCCTTGATTGGAGGAATTTGACATGTCTTTGGTAATTTAGCCAAAACTTTGGCTACGGTTATCAGAATCGCTATTATGACCCCCAATCCGAAAAGCTCTCTTTGACGCGCACGTCATGGCTACCTAGCTATGCTTGGTAGGCGTCAATTTCGAGCCTAAAATCCACTGTTTTCTTTTTCGAAATTCAATTTTAGTTATTTTTTGCTATTTATGGTAATATTTCGTTTCCCTTTTTCCATATGTTAGAAAACTTGAATTGAGCCAAATTTTTGGCAACCTACTTTTTTTACTTAATATTTTATTTTGGTTTAATTTCAAGATTTTGTCATTTTTGGTAATTTTCCTATAATTTCGTATTTTACAGTTATTTAACCCGGCTTGTAGGTTAATTTTGGTCATTCTACATTATTAATAATATTGAGTTGATTTCAGAGTATTTTTTTCTAGTTTTTTGGGCATTTTCTTTCATTTCTTTCTTGCGAATCATCTGCTACAACAAGCCAATAGAATAATCACTATCCTACCCGGTGTCAATTGATATCAGAGCGTCAGCATCTTCTTAAGAGATAAATTCCATCAGTTATAATGGTTGGAGGACATGGTCATGGTCGTCGAGGGAAGGTTCCGATTGAGGAAGTCCCACACCGTGATCGTAATATTCAAGATGTGACGATTGAAGATTTGCAGAGACAAGTCGCGGAGTTAGCCCAACGTTTGGCGGAGTAGGAATTCGGTAATCATGATGTGGAGGGTTACGATTTCGATACCAGTTTCGAAAACCTTTATCACCATCGTGCTTGAGTTTGGGAGCATCGTGAACGGGAGGATCATCATGTGGATCTCAATTTCAGAGTGGATCTACCCGAGTTTTCTGGTACGTTGTAGGCTGAAGGATTTTTGAATATAAGGAGGTTTCAGATCGTGTCAAAGTAAAACTGGTCGCCATCAAACTCAAAGGTAGAGCATCTACATGGTGGGAATAATTGAAGCGTTCACGGAAGCGATAGGGAAAATCCAAAATTACTGACTGGAAGAACATGAAGAAGAAAATGAAAGGACACTTCCTCCCTTTTCGGCTATACTCAAAGGCTCCATTCGCTGAGGCAAGGCGCAAGATCAGTCAATGATTATATTAAGGAATTCTATCAGCTGGTGGCTCGGAATGATTTATCTGAGACAGAGGAGCAGATAGTAGCACAGTATTTGGGGGAATTAAGGCAGCCCTTGTAGGATGTTCTCAGCCTTCATTCATTGTGGACGGTTTTTGAGGCATATCAGTGGGCACTTGCAGTGGAGAAACAACAGAGTATGAGGCTAGTGGTCAGAGATAAAGGTAGTTAGCCAGTTCACCCTTAAGAATCTCGTCCTGCTTATTAGCCACAGTGGGACAATTTCAGCTCAAGTATTAAGTATTTCAGGTGTGGTGAGCAGGAGCATAGGGCAACTGATTGTAGAAAGCCTGCTGGTCAGAAGAATAAAAATTTTCTGATTGAGGAGGATATGACAGAAGAGTTTGAGTAAGTTGGAGAGCATGTGTATAATGATGGTAAAGATGAGGACGTGCTATATAGAGATGGCCAGGAGACCTTGGTCGTTCAAAAGAGCATGCTGACTCCCAAGGGCGATTCAGAGGATGATTGGTTGATGATCAATGTTTTTCACACAACCTGCACAGTCGTTGATAGAGTCTACAAGCTGATAATTGATAGTGGCAGTTATGAGAATGTAGTGTCTGAGGAGGCTATCCAGAAACTGCAACTGAAGACGGATCGTCATCCTGAACCATACAAATTGTCTTGGCTGAATAAAGGCGGTGAGGTAATGGTAGAAAAATAGTGCTTAGCGTCTTTTTCGATTGGAAAAAAATATTTTGATAATGCTTGGTGTGATGTGGTATCAATGGACGCGTGTTATGTTTTGTTGGAACGACCTTGGCAGTATGATCGCAGCATTATCCATGATGGGCGGAAGAATACTTATTCTCTTAGCATCAAAGGGAAGAAAATTGTTTTGGCGCCTCGCAGGGAAGAAAACATCCTTGCCTCGGTAGTTAATAACACCAATCTACTTTCTATGTCCAGGTTCTTGGTTGAGGTTGGGCGTGAAAAAATAGTTTATGCTTTAATGCCCGTGAAAATAGTGCAGCGAATGTGGATTCAAAATTACCAACAAAAGTGCAGCAATTACTGATGGAGTTTTCTGACTTGATGCAGGAGAATCTTTCTCCAGGATTACCACCTATGAGTGACATTCAACATCATATCGACTTTATTTCGGGGTCGAGTCTATCAAACTGACCAGCATATTGCCTCAGTCCCAAGGAATCTTTTGTGCAGTTCCTGCTCTACTAGTGCCGAAGAAAGATGGGTCGTGGCGTATGTGTGTTAACAGCAAGGCAATGAACAGGATCACAGTGAAGTACAGGTTTCCAATTCCCCGCCTGGACGACATGTTGGATCAACTATTCGGTTCTAAGGTCTTCTAAAAAATTGACTTTAAAAGAAGATACCACTAGATCAGAATTAGGCTTGGAGATGAGTGGAAGACCGCGTTCAAGACACAGCATGGATTGTACGAGTGGATGGTCATGCCCTTTGGACTATCCAACGTACCCAACACTTTTATGAGGTTTATACATCAGGTTTTACAGCCTTTCATGGGCAAGTTTGTGGTAATCTATTTTGACAACATACTTATTTATAGTCCGACATGGGAGCCACATTTTAATCATCTTTGTGCTGTCTTTGACGTAATGAGGACGGAGCGCTTATTCATCAATCCGAATAAGTGTTCTTTCTTCACAACTTCTGTAATTTTTTTGGGTTTTGTTGTGTCTACTGATGATGTTCATGTAGATCAATCCAAAATTGAGGCAGTTTTGAATTGGCCCAAGGCAAAAACTTTGCACGATGTTAGGAGTTTCCATGGATTGGCATCCTTCTATCGTTGGTTCATCAGAAACTTCAGTACCTTGATTACTCCTATCATAGAGTGCCTTAAAGGGTGTAATTTTCAGTGGACCGAGGAGACAGAGGCTAGCTTTCAGTTGGTTAAGCAGAAGATGACGGAGGCCCAGTCTTGGCACTTTCAGACTTTGAGAAGGTGTTCGAGGTAAACTCTGATGTGTCTGGAATTGGTATTGGTGGTGTTCTAAGTCAGGAGGGGCGTCCAGTAGCCTTTTTCAGTGAGAAGCTATCGGGATTGAAGAAAAATTATTCCACTTATGACCTGGAGTTCTATACCATAGTTCAGACTCTGAAGCATTGCCGTCATTACCTGGTACAGAGGGAGTTTATCCTTGTTACTGATCATGAGGCCTTGAAGTATATCAATGGTTAGCACAAGCTGAGTAGGCGACATGCAAAGTGAGTGATGTACTTGCAAGAGTTTACTTTCACACTAAGGCATCAAGCAGGGAGTTTGAATCGAGTAGCAAATGTATTGAGCCATCGCACATTAGTCCTCACCACCATGAGCAACAAGATTGTCGGATTTGAGTCATTTTCTGATATGTATGCTGCAGATCCTTGGGAAGATAATTCGGGAGGTAACTGATAATCACCGACATGATTTTGTTTTAAATAATGGTTACCTATTTATTGGATTGCAGTTATGCATTCCAGATTGTTCACTAAGGCAGCAGATTATTAGCGAACTTCATAACGAAGGACATTTTGGGTGAGACAAGACATTGGCATTGGTCTCTTCTGATTATTACTGCCCAAGTTGAGCAGTGATGTGGCGCATTATGTGGAGGGGTGTTATGTATGCCAGCGGTCTAAAGGAGCTCTTACTAATGTTAGATTGTACACGCCATTATCCGTACCTGAAGCTCCTTGGTTTGATGTCGGCATGGATTTTGTCTTGGACTTACCTCGTACACAACGGGCGATGGATTCCATTCATGATGTGGTTGATAGATTTTCAAAGATGGCTCATTTTGTGGCTTGCCAGAAGACAATGGATGCTACTTGGATTGCTCATCTTTACTTCAGAGAGATTGTGCGTTTACATGGTGTTCTATAGTCAATTACTTCTGACCATGACACTAAGTTTATGAGTCATTTCTGGAGGAGTTTATGGGAGAAACTTGAAATGAAGTTGAATTTTAGCAGCGCATACCATCCCCAAACAAATGGTCAGATCGAGGTGGTTAATCGGAGTTTGGGAAATCTTTTGAGAAGCTTGGCAGGGACTAAACCGAAGAAGCGGAATTTGGCATTACCTCATGCAGAATTTGGCATTACCTCAAGCAGAGTTTGCTTATAACTGGTCGAGGAATAGAACCACCGGATTGAGTCATTTTGAAATTGTCTATAGTCGGAACCCATCCAGGGTACTTGATTTGGCTCCAATTATGGCCGAACATCTTCGAGGTATCCATGAGCAGGTGAAGCTGTCCATACAGGATAGTTATACTGAGTACAAGGCTCAAGAAGGTAGTCACCAGTGCAGGTGTTGTTTGATGTTGTGATTTTGTTTGGATAGTATTAGCTAGTGATCGTTTTCCAGCTAGAGAGTACAATAAGCTAAAGGAGAGTAAGATTAGACCTTGTGAAGTGCTACAAAAGATCAATGATAATGCTTACAGGTTGTGCCTCCCTATCCATTTGAAGACCTCTGACGTCTTCAATGTGAAACACCTAAGCACTTGTTTTGTAGAGTCTGATGAAGCTACTGTGAACTCGAGGGCGAGTTCTTTCCAACCCGAGGTGACTGATGTAGGAGGATTCGAGTCGAGTGATGTGATTTGTCAGATAGCACGATGGCACTGAGATACCATGAGATGGCAGATCGGCGCAAAGATGGGGAGTGAATCACAATTATTTCCTTGATTGGGGGAATTTGACATTTTTTGGTAATTTGGTTATAACTTTGGCTACGATTATCAGAATCGCTATTATGACTCCAATTCAGAAAGCTCTCTTCAGTGTGCACATCTTGGCTACCCAACTATGCTCGGTAGGCATCAATTTCGAGCCCAAAATCCACCGTTTTCCTTTTAGAAATTCAATTTTTAGTTATTTTTTGCTATTTATGGTAATATTTCGTTTCCCTTTTTCCATATGTTAAAAAACTCGAATTGAACCAAATTTTTGGCAACCTATTTCTTTTACTTAATATTTTATTTTGGTGTAATTTCGGAATTTTTCATTTTTGGTAATTTTCCTATAATTTCGTATTTTGCAGTTATTTAACCCGACTTGTGGGTTAATTTTGATCATTCTGTATTATTAATAATATAGAGTTGATTTTAGAGTATTTTCTCGGGTTTTTTTGGGCGTTTTCTTTCGTTTCTTTCTTGCGAATCATCTGCTACAACAAACCAATAGGATAATCACTATCCTACCTGGTGTCAGCTTCCCTGGTAAGCCTGCGGATCTCCACAACAAAAAAGACCTGGATAGTTAGACCCATCTATTTTGAGCAAGCTGGGAATGGTTCATGTTTAAGGAAGAAAAAGTCACCTTAAAGGAGTGATGAAAGGGAACGCCGACCCCCATATCGAGTGAATGTTTATGAATAGCTATGCAGCCTAGGCATAGGAGATCTGCTGTTTGAAATGACATCGGACATAATAACTCTATATCATTTGAAACTTTGAATTGGATCCTAATTATTGAGCCTCATAACTTCTCATCATTTTCATTAAGATCAGTATTTATATCAGAGGTTCGCCTACCTCGTTACAAACCCCATTCCGAGGCCAAAACTTCCTGCTTGGCCAAAAAGTTCTGGGTCAATGCATATACCGAAGTATGTCATAGCTCTATAAGAGAGCACACCAATATATAAAACTTCCATAAAAAAATAAGAGGTGCTAGAAGAATCATATCTTGAACTAGAACTCCCAAAATCTTAATCACCGATTGCACTCTAACAGTCGGTTTAGAAAGTCATTGTAGGAAAAATGTTGGACAAGGATAAGGAAATATAGAGCACTATGACATAAAATTTCTTGAAAGCAATGAGGTGACAAAGTAAAGAAGGCCAACCGAAGTAACGACATAGTTATAAATTCTAACGAGAAGTATAAGCTGTTAAAATGTGATGATAATAATAATAATCGTTGAAAATGAACGGGCGGCAAATCGAATCCTCAGACACATAGGCCAACTCGTGTGCAACCCATATGTGCCCAAAAAAGTTATGTGCCACTAACAGGAAAAACGCAAATAAGGCCCATCTGCGCGCATTGGACGATAGTGGTTGCTAACATGTTCCCTATGTCCTCAGAGGTGAAGAACCCTCAATAGCTTCGTCAATCAACGCATAAGGCAAGTAAAGTTCTATATTTATATAAATAATATAACAATACTTGGGAGACTATTTGTTAACCCTCGAAATGAAGTTTACGAACCTAGCTAGCTATTGGCGAAGTGTAAAGCAATAGGCGAGGGAAAAGAATAAATAGAAGGCTCGCCTAAAAATTACGAACCATTTTACATATCCAAACTCGCTACAAGCTGTCAATAAAGAGCACATTGGCAAACGAACAAAACATGATTCTTTAGCGAATTAGTTTTAAGGTAGCCAATGACAAGCTACTATCTGTCATGCTCTCAAAATAACCAAATTACCCAAAATTTAGAGAAAAATATATAAATATCCCTTCATTTGAAAAATACATGCAATTCAAATATCTCTCTTTCAAATAGTTATTTCTTTTTTCTGCTCTTATCTGAGCATCAAAACTAGTGAATTTAGGAAGCAAAAGTCGTAGCAGCTAGGTGAGTAAGATTTGATAGGATTTCTGTCATCAACAAACGCAAAAAACTTTGAGTTTGGAACTCGAAAGGCGCTTTTGCAGTATTCCATCTCCAAATTCCAGTGTTGTCAAGCGACATGAGCTGGCAGATATTATATTCATTATCAATTGAAAAGATTCTAAGAACGTATAGAGATTTTTGATGGGATAAAAGCCAAAGTAGTATCTAGGTTGCCTAGATGTCACATAGGAAGAGCTTTGAAGAAGTCGAACAATTTTCCCAATCCAGATATTTGTAAGTTACGGCCTCACAATCATCAGTGTGAAAGCAAGCAAAACCATCGAAAACATGAAATTTACATTTTGTAGAAGGCAGATCAATTAGTTGGGGGTAAAATTTTTGGGTGGAAGTTACAAGAGCTTTCTTGAATTGAATCATCCAACGAGTGAGAGTGGCATAGAATCTCTAGCGTTCGGAGGTTTGAGCTTTGCAACGCATTAGAGCGGCGCCGCAAAAGCAGCAGCTTTCGGAGCGTGAGAAGACAAGAAGCCCCGGCCGATTGTGGTTTGTCGCGAATCAGTTCATACTTCATAGAGTTTTATTTTCGTAGGTTTCCTTATCGATTACAGTTTTTCTATATCAATTCCATATTTTATAGAGTTCTATTTTATTAGGTTTCCATGTCAATTATATAAGGTAATTATGTTCACACAATAATTTTTTATATCTGCACCACATTTTAATTACAAGAAAAGTTTTCAATATTTGCTCACTTTTACTTTTATGTTCTCGATCTTTTTCTCATTGCATTGTTATTTTTAATTTTCAATTAATTAATATATTTTATTGTTAATCGTGATTTTTATCCAAATCTTTTGCTAACGTGCACTGAAAAGAGGAACAAATATTTTGTTAAATTTTGTTATCAGTTATTTATTTTGGTTATATATAACTACGAGAGACAAATATGTCTTTTTCACATCTTCATAGTAAACAATTTGGACGAAAAACGTCTCTATAAGCAAGATGTGGAAACTAACTGAGGGTTGGATAATAAATAATTGTACTTATGTTTTATATAGAGTTTTATTTTGGTAGGTTTCAATAAGATGTTCCAATGGCTTTTTCATTTTTCTTTTCCCTTTTTTTTTTTTTTTGGGCACACTTTCTTTGATAGATAATATATATGACTGTGACATATTAAAGTAAAGCGACTCAATTGAGATTTCACTCAAAATCCAGTGGCTAAAACATCCTTCAATAAGATTTCCAGGTAATATCTATCAAAGAAAGTTAAAAATAGAAAAATGCATGGCTGGATTTCGTATTGTCAAGGATAGATTTCGTCCGGTCACCGAACAAATAGGAAAAATATCAACTGGGTCAATAACTTGTAATTTTTTTCCCAATTCGATGACTGAATATCAATTTAATTTAAAATTTTTTTCACTCTTATCATATTTTCTCTCAATTCGATCATTTAATATCAAGATTATGATGATGCCTTTAGATTAAAAATCATATTTTTTGTCCCTATTTTAACAATTTTATAATATATTGTGTAGTGATTATTTGACATGTCATACAAGGATTATATTAAACATCTATTGCGGTGTGTCCCAATTTACCAATTTTTATGAATCTGGGATACAACACGTAAGCGAGCGAAAGTTCATTGATCCAATAAAATTATATTAAGAGTTAGTAATATAATTTATACAAATTGAAGTTTAATAATCCCATTAAAATTTTATTGAAAGTTTATTGATGACCAATAAAAATTACTCCATCGTCAATGGTGATAACTTGGCACGACCCCAAACTTGTCGACCTTCAAAACTCCAATAGCCAATCATTCTTCAAACTGGAAGTATTTATATTACATTTTGATTTCAATACTATTTGTAGGGAAAGCAAGTAAAAGCGGATAAAATAGCACAAGAAAGAGCAACACAATAGATTGAATATAAATAATAAAGACAAGTTGATAGGCAAACAACTTTCCAAACGAAAACTTGGATATCACTTAAATTCTATTTGAACGTTAAAATTATATCTGATTGCTTAATTTATAAATGGTTCGTCTACAAATAAGAAGACCTAGTATTCTTCATCCAAAAAGACTGCGTAGCATGATGAATAACTAAGATTTCATCAATATCAAACAGTTAATAATATTGAAGATACTCTTTCAAAACAAATATTGAAAAACACTAAATCATCCACTCTAATGTTTGCATGCAAAGAACAAATTCTATCTCAAGTAACTACAAATACTAATCGATAGCTTGGCTCAAATGAAATTACATCATCCCTCTATTGAACAATTTTCAGCAGTTGTTTAATATTTCCGCAACATTACATAATCAGCAAAGTTTAAGTTCTTAGAAAAACAGCAAAAATGGCATTCTTCTCTTCATCCAGCAACATCGCTATCAAATTTACTCAATCCAGTCCTCTGAAACTGCATGTTGGATGAGTCACCTAAAGATATCGTCAAGATGAAGCCATTCTGTTGGAGGAGAAGGTAAATCCCAGTACTCCGTGGAAGCTACAGAATTACCTTGCCTCGAGCAACCCACATCGCCATGAAGGTGTGGATTTGGCGAAGAGTACTGTAGTTGGGCATTAGACGAGTCTCCGAAAAAAGAATCCAGTATACTGGGGGTTGTTAAATCCAAGTAACTACCATCATCAACTGCAAATCTACTTGTCCCCACATCACCATTCAAGTGTGTAACAGGTTGATACGGATCATTTCTTTGCTCAGGTGGAAACAGAGGATTATACAGACTAACGTTGCTTTGATCACCAGGAATGTATGCCAAAGGTTGAGGAGATGGAGCAATATGACTTTCCATTGCCATATGATCACCACGAAAGTATGCAAGTGGAGGAGACGGAAGAATATTACTTTGCATTGCCATATGATCACCACGAAAGTATGCAAGTTGAGGAGACGGAAGAATATTACTTTGCATTGCCATATCTCCATGCATGTACGTAACAGGTTCATGAACCAATGGATATTGATTATTTATTCTTGCTTGTTGGTAGGGAACATAAGCACCTTGCAAGGACGATTGATCAAGTGCCGGTACACGATTTTGATAAGAAGACGTTGCTGTCAAATTTGCATCAGGGATATGAGTTTCTTGAATTGGGATCGTGTTTCTTTGTGTGCTTTCTTCCTTTCTTTTTCTCGGTTTTGATGGTCTATAGAAAATTCTGCATGCACAAAAATCCAACTGCAAAAAAATATACAACATATATGTGTTAGAAAAAATCTATTTTTGTACAGTTAAAAAGAACCATAGGGTTGTCGAGTACCAAAAAAAAAAAAAAAATTTTTTTTTAAAATTTAAAAATTTTAAAAAATAAAAGAAAAAAAATTAAAAATTAAAAGCTCTAGTGCGTTTCAAGTCATTCCAAACAATAATAACATATATAAACCAGTGATTAATGAAAAGTGATCATTTAAATAAGAGGGGGGGGGGGGGGCCCTTTAAAAAAAAAAAAGGGGGGGGGGGGGGACCCTAATGTTGCAAGTCATATCCCCAAACAACGATAATCTATGTGCATAATTAATTAATAAAAGAATCTGAAAATTTTTGAATACCATCTTGTTATCTGGAATTGCGTTTGTAGAAGAACGTGCAACATCCTTCATTTGATGAACCGTAAACTCATGCATCATCCAGTTAGTTTTTCTTCCTTTATTATTCTTAGATTTTCCTTCATAATAGACAAGCGTCTTTTTCCGTCCAACTTCTTGGCCATTGCTTCGGACAATGATGCCAGCTCCCGTGGCTTTCCAGTAACCATCAGCAGCTGCTCGGTCGGGCCGACTACCTTTAGGATATTTCTTAGTTCTAGAAGTAAAAAAGTAGCCCTCTTGTGTTCCATTCATCCTGCTTTCTGATATTCATGACATTAATAAAATCCAAAGAATGTAAATATTAATAATAACTGAGGAAGATAATATAACAAGAACCACCAAGAAACATCAAGAAATAAACAAGAACCACCAAGAAACATCAAGAAATAATGAAACTTACGACAAAGATTGTGAGGATGGTACTGGTAGAGATCAATGTCTTTTATGGCATCGATTAATATAGGTTTGCTCATAATCTTGAGATTCAAGTAGTACAATAGCTCCAGGTCTGTCGGTTTGAATCGGTAACCGAGCGGAACATTTTCTTGGACAGAGAAATCAGAATGTTTTTGTGCGGCCATGGCAACTTTCTTGCCTTTATCAATTGTTCTTCGCAGTAATAGTAAAAGTAAATGAAAGGGAAGTGTATTGATTATGAGTATATACAGCCGTTATGTGGACTGTAGAGAGAGAGACCCACAGAGTTAGGAGAGGATTGCTAGTATAAATTGTAAGGATTAAAATTTCATTTTCATGCAATTATCTGATTGAATGCTGACGGTTCCGCACGGTTAAACGGCCTGTGTGTGTTTCTATACTTATGCGTATAGCCGTTTATATATAGACAGAATGAGGACGGAGGGTCTTTCAAACAATTTTACCCTTGGTCCCTGAAATTTATTTGCTTTGAAAAAGAATGAGGAAATAGCTTATAAATTCTCACCTAGAAGCTTATAAATCCTTTCTTTTTTTCATTTTAATACTAGCAATTCGTCCCCTTAGAAAATAAATTGTCCATCTTAGTCCAGGAAAACAAATATTGCACAAAATAAATTTCTCTTGCCAGGTCTAACCTTTGCAAAAAACATTCAATTCAGAAATTTTACTTTTAAAAAAAAATGAATTTTCAAAAAATATTTAAATCTTTGCATCATGAGAATCCATTAACACATTGGCAACAACTTCCTACACTTTCCTTCTCCTTTATACCGCTTTCTTGAGGCTGCTTCCCATTATTGTTAAGATCCATTCCGCTTGCAAGCTTAGGTTCTTCAGCTATATATTTCAGTTTTTTGATTAGTTGTACCCATTCGAACCCGAAGTCATCTCTTAGCTAGATTACAGAACCTTAATTCACAAGTAAAAAAGGCATGGCATGTAAAAAAGGCATGGCATGTCACCTTTTTAATGTAGTTGTCACCATATTATTATTATTATTATTATTTTTTTTTTTGCCAATTGTGAATAGCGACATAGAATGTTGCATTTCTAGTATAGGTATGCACTTATCTAATGTAGAATATTGATTCACATTTAACACGACAAAAATTTAATAGTAATATCTAAAATATTAGTTTATGTAGTTTCTGACACACCCCACCCCGTGTAACACCACTAGATCCGGACGTAGTATGTGCCGATGATAGATACCAACTAAAGGTCGGACCCATCCTCAAGACTACTACAAATACAATATATTATTTTTATACATCATTTTTCTAATAGAATTTCGACATTATCTCCCCTGTAAATAGGCCTAACCAACATGTGATCAATTTCACACAAATCCCAACTTATAGCACAGCACAATAAAGATAAGCCGAAATCTCAACCTTTACCAAAAAATAAAATGAAATATACATATGGATACAAAATACATAGTGGGCCCCATAACTATCTACAAGTGATGCAAAATCACATCTAGACATGAACATGCGTCCCAAAACACTGACTACAAGTTCTATGAAGTGAGTCATACTAACAAACTCTATCGTGTGGCTCTGATTCCAAAATCAATGCTCAACTCCAAAAGATGCCCAGATTCTCAACTGCTACATGATAAAGAAAAATGTGAAAAAATATATGAGTTGATAGTTCAGTGAGTGAAGAAGTTTAAAATAAATATACTTTTTCATTTATACATTTTTATTAAAAATCAAATTCATATCATTTGATAATTCACAAGCTACCATCATGTAAATATAGTCAAAAAGCGAAATATTCACATAACGTCATAAAATATCATCTTAAAATCATGATATAACATTAGCTGATAACCATGCTATAATCTCATCATAACAACGTGCTGAAAAATCCACAAAAAATGTACCATCTGACTGAAATATGTAATCTCCCTCTCGAGCTAAGAACTTTTGCCACAAAAAAATGTACCCTCTGTGAACGAAAGTCGGTCTCAAAAACCTCTTATAATCAATTCTAGAACACGGTCAAGGTCCTTCTGTGAATTATATGTACACGATTAAGACCAATATCAGGTAAATATCCTCCGTGTAGGATAGAACACGGTCAAGGTCCCTCTGTGAGCTATAAGAAGTATATAATCATGGGTACTTTTCTAGCCGATCTCAATATTACATGTCTCACATACCCAACAAATCTCAATATCACATGTCTTACACACCAAGTCACAATTGTGCCATAAATAATCTTTGAGATTTCACAAGTATCACACTAAAAGAGATTTCCATAATAACCATGTAATTCGAACACATAATTGCATATAATTTCACATACTTTAACAATATACTTAATTTATAAATATATTAAAAAAATTTGTATTTTTCCATTCACAGAACTATGTACGCCAAAATCAACTCGATTGGTACGCTGTCCCGATATTCGTATCGCCGCCTGAAATATGATATTATTTTTAAATCAATAATAAACTATTTTAAGAAATTTCATTAATTAAATAGGTGATACCCAAATTTAATTATATCACGTTTAGGCGATTTCTAAAATCTCGTTAATTACTAAAAATAACTTTTCTTTCATTTTACTCAATTTCATAGTTTATTATACTTAACCCCTTTAATGAAATTGAATTTAATCTAACAACCTAACAACTATAAAATCAAAAATAACATTTCAATAAGTAACTTTTACTTACCTTTCAAAATTGAGAAATTCAAGTCTAATAGTATAACTCACTTAATTCCTAACACGTTAGCGAGTTTTCCCTTTTTTTCTTCTTTTTCTTCCTCTTTTCCTTTTTTTTTTTCCCCTCTTTTTCCTTTCTCTTTTTCTCTTTTCTGCTTCTCTGTACCATTTTTTTTGTGTAATGTGTGTGTTATGGATTTGGATTACATATATATATAAATACATTGGGAATGGGTTAGTTTGGGCATAGTCACATACCGTTTTCCTTTCCTTTTTAATTTTTTTTACTTTTCTTTTGAATTAATTAAAGTATTACAAAATCACCCCCTTAAAAGAATTTCGTCCTCGAAATTCAATTAACTAAGTGCGAAAAATCTGGAGATATTGAGAACGCCTGCTCTTCACTTTCCCATGCCACTTCTTCTATAGCATGATTCCTCCACAAGATTTTAACCAAAGGAATAGTCTTACTACGCAAGACCTGTTCCTTTCTGTCCAATATCTGAACTGGTTCCTCTTCATAAGTAAGATTTTCTTTCAGCTCTACTGGTTGTGATTCCAAAACATGTGAGGGATCTAGAATATACTTACGAAGCATGAAAACATGGAATACATCATGAATTTTGGACAATTCTATTGGCAAAGCCAATCGATAGGCACTTGGACCAATGCGTTCGACAATCTCATATGGGCCAATATACATCGGACTCAATTTACCTCGTTCACCATATCTGATAACACCTCCCCATGACGACAATCGCAGGAAAACTTTATCTCTAACATCAAATTCAAGATTTCTTCTGCATCTATCTGCATAGTTCTTCCGTCTTTAAATTTTCTTTAGTTATCTTTACTTTCTCAGCAGTAATCTAGACATATTCAGGACCGAATAACTTTCTTTCACCAACTTCATCCCAACATACTGGAGTTCTGCATTTCCTACTATACAGTGCTTCAAAAGGAGTCATTTCTATACTCGAATAATAACTGTTATTATAAGCAAACTCCATCAAAGAAAGATGAGCATCCCAATTTCCTTTAAACTGTAGTACACAAGCTCGTAACATGTCTTCCAAAGTCTGAATAGTTCTTTTTGACTTACCATCTGTCTGTGGATGAAAAGCTGTACTGAAATAAAGTTTAGCACCCATAGCTTTCTGCTACCTGGGCCAAAATTTAAAAGTTAACGAGAATCTCTATCTGAAACAGTAGATAATGGTGTCCCATACAAACTTATTATCTCATCAACATATATTTTTGCCAATTTATCTAATGAGTAAATGACTTTAATAGGCAAAAATCTAGCAGTCTTCATCAATCTATCTACAATGATCTATATGCCATCATGTCCATTCTGAGTCCATGGAGGTCCAAATAAAAAATCCATAGTAACGTGTTCTCATTTCCACTCAGGAATAGGCAATGTTTGTAACAATCCTACTGTTTTCTGACGATCTAGTTTCATTCGCTGGCAAATGAGGCATCTGGATACAAACTTAGCTAATTTCTCTCTTTATTCCATGCCACCAATAGTGTTCTTCGAGTACACGATACATTTTTGTACTACCTGGATGCATCGCGTAAGCTGAACTATGTGCCTCTTCTAGAATTTCTCCCTTCAATTTCGTATCATCTGGAACATATAATCTGTTTCCCATAACTAAAGCTCCGTCATCTCGAATGGTATAATCTGTATGCTTACCTTTACTAACTTCTTCTTTCAATTTGCTCAACACTGGATCTTAAGTTTGAGTTTCTCTAACTGTGTCAATCAAAGTAGGCCTTACTTGAAAGTTGGCAAACAATGCTCCTACACTGGTAACTGATAATTGAGCATGAGAAGCTCTGAACTCCCCAAACAAAGATGAACATACTGCATTAGTCTGGATCATAGGGTCGATATTTTCCGACTGAGAGCATCAGCAACTACATTAGCCTTCCCTGGATGATAATCAATTTTGCAGTCGTAATCTTTTATCAGCTCTAACTATCTTCTTTGCCTCAAGTTTAACTCTTTTTGATCGAAAATATACTTTAAACTTTTATGATCTGTATATATCTGACATCTCTCACCATACAAGTAATGTCTCCAAATTTTCAAGACTAGTACAACTGCAGCTAGCTCTAAGTTATGTGTAGGATAACTCATTTCATATTTCTTCAACTGCCTGGAAGTATACACTATAAGTAACTTTCCCATTCTACATTAAAACACAACCAAGACCCTAACGTGAAGCATCATTATATATGACAAACTCTTCACCGGGAGATGGAAGGGTAAAAACTGGAGCTGGCACCAATCTATTCTTCAATTCAAGGAAACTTCTTTAGTAATTTTCATTCCAAACAAATTTAGCATTCTTTCTAGTCAAACTGGTCAAAGGAAGAGTAATTTTAGAAAATCACTCTACAAAACGACAATAATAACCTGCTAAGCCAAGAAAACTTCGGATTTTTGTCACATTAGTAGGTCTTTCCCATTTTACCACTGCCTCTATTTTTTGCGGGTCAACATAAATTCCTTCTGCTGATATGACATGTCTCAAAAATACAACTTTATTAAATCAGAATTCACATTTACTGAATTTAGCATACATCTGCTCATCACGTAGAGTCTGAAAAATGATTCTGAGATGCTTTGTGTGTTCATCGTGATTATGAGAGTATACTAAAATTTCA